GGGGAGCAGGGCGAAGTGCTCATTTCCCTGCACATTGCAGGCAACCCCACCTACTACGTACCGGGACAAGAATACCATGGTAGGTACCACAGCATCTGCGCGCTCGCCGCCGGGCCCCTGCGCCCGACAGCGCAGCTTTTTATCTCCTTTCCTTCTTCCAAGGGGCCACTTAAACAAGAACCATTACAGCCCCTACCCCAACATTGCGCTCTGTCGAGGGAGAGAGAACAAAGTTAGTGAGAATCAAGTCGCGAGTTGGGATTTATCACCACCCTCCACACTTCCCACCTAGCACATCTCCTGCTAATGAGCTGATTCTTGCGCTAAATGCCTGGTAATTCCTGGGGGCTGGTATCTTTACCCCTTCACTCCTCATTCTTGCATTCTGGCAGGTTGAGTGGATCCGCGCGCCTTGTTTCCTTAACCCTAAGACTTAGATTTCAGACCTTTGTCCTGCTCGCAGTCCCCTGGTGGCGTTGGGGCTGGCACTGGGCTTTGCGGACGGGCTGGTGACAGATTGACGCGCCACGGTCCGTGGCTGCCCCGCGCCCCCTGCCCGCCGCAAAGTTCCCGCTGCTCACCAGCCAGGGGTCCCTGTCATTTCATTTCGTGTCAAACAGCCCTTCTGAAATGGAGCGGCGGCGTACCGTTATCTATTCTGTTTAAAGTACTGTTTAAAATGTCAGGAATGGACTCTTTTTCTTGATTCTTCTCTTACTTTTAACATGCTGCTTGTTTTTAGAATTATCTCTAGGATGTTTGTTAATGACTGTCTTTTATCTGCACCGCTGTATTTCCAAGTAGGAACTGGAAACCCTTTATAATTTAAACCCCTTAAAAAATCATTATGCAGTCTTCCATCAAAATTAAACATTATCGGAGGAGTAAAATTTAGCTCCAAGAAATATAGTTTTATGTAGTGGGTACATTTTTAATGTTTTCAGCTAGTAAAGTATATGGAAAAATTAAAAAAAAAATATTGCCTATCTTTTTTTTTTTTTTTTTTTCCTGCTGAGACGTCTGAATCTTTCACTTCATGGAGCTTTTATAAGTCATAACAGACACTGTGTAATTAGAATTTCAATACAAAATACTATACCCAAACAAGTAGAAACTACAGTAGTTACTGTATGTAGATCATGTTATAGCTTCAAGCTCTAATAGCCCTCCAGTTACTGACATGGCAGGAGATAATCCACAATGCAGCTGGCATTTCAGTTGTGCGTGCACATATAAATTGTAAGAATTACTGAGTTTCCTATTTTTTTAAAAGGCCTTCATATTTGCTCTAATAGGATAGTTTAAATAAATGTTTCCTAGAGGTTTTAAATAGTGCTTTTACTACTTTCTTGTGGCATGGTGGCAGCCTTGTCTGTAAAGCGGGAGTCTAATTTCCTGGAATTTCAGACTTTGGAAAACTAATTTTTCTGTACCTAGTCCCTTCTTCAATAAAATGCTTACTACACTTTTTACCGAGAATAATTTGTGCTTTTCTGAGGATATGAGAATCTTGAAGCGAAGGACCAAGCTGATATGATGGCAACCCAGACCTAACCCAAAGACTGATTGATTGAGCTTGTCACTTGGTGTGACCCTTAGCAAACGTTCTGGCCCTTTATTAGCTCTTAGTGATAGTGGTAGGTAAGTGAGCCCTGGCTGGGCTAAAAGGTATGATTGTCAGGTTGTGATGGAAGACCATGTGATGAAATAAAGCCTTATTTTTTTTCTGCTTTCCACATCCTTTGTAAGGGGAAGACATAGACAAACTTAAAAACAGTAACATGACCTAGCATTGCTTTTGCTATAAAGCTAGAAAATGTAAGTTACCCTAAGTCACATCATAATTGAATCCCTGAATCTGCAGACGAATAGATGATAATAGAGAAAGAATAAAGTGTGACACTTCAGTTGGATGTTGAGGGGAAAAGTCTAAATTTCTACCTTTTTTCTTCTGCCTACTGGTAGAGAAATTTTATTGTGTAAGTTACAAAATGTCAAATT